GAACCCATTGTTCTTTTCGATTTTTTCTGTCACTCACAGCCAAATCCAACCCTACCTTGCTGGGCAAGTCTGTGGGTGAAACGAGCCGTATAGGAAAAGCAGCCACCTCAAAGGGCATTTTTCCTAGGACACTTCAGTGCTTAAGAACTTTAAGTCCTGAAACCAGAGTTCAAATCCCAACTCTACCAGCTATAAGCTATGCAACTTCAGGCAAGTTGCTTAATCTTTCTGTGCTTCATGAGGATACATGTGAGGACTGAGTGAGTTAATATGAAGTTACAAGAAGTCGCTGGCACACAGCACGTGCCATACAAGTATCAGCAGTTAGTATCTCATTTTCACACATTTAGGGGATGCCCCATGTAGCTCAGGGACTGGGTCCCCAGAATATCTCCCTAAACCTCATCTCAGTCTAGATTTTCCCCTCGAGGTGACTCTGCGCTCAGGGTAGCAACGCCAGGGGCATCCTGCACTTCAGCAATGACAAGAACAACTTTGTCTTGGAGGAAAGGAACCAGTGGGGGTTGGAGGCACTACTGGGCTCCTGCTTTGGAGCCCAGAAGAGGGACTGCTCCCTGGTTTCCAGATGAAGTTTTCATCAGGAAGAGAAAAAGAGAAATAAAAGCACCTGACTGGCTGTGTACCCTGGGTGGGTATCGCTCCTCACTGGGCCTCTGGGCAGTGGGGTAAATCATGTGCCGGCAGCACAAAGACCAATATGGAATACGACTGAACTTTGTTGGGTTTGAGGCAGCGGGGAGAGTGCGGTGGGAACTGGAGCAAGGACACATGACCCATGGGGGTGGGGGCAGGTACCACGCAGTGCCAGCCAACCTGCCAGGCAGCAAAATGGGTCCAGGATTGTCAAATTGTCTGCTTTTTCAAAAGAAATGGAATTCAACTCTGAATTCCTTGTGCGATTCTCTGATTGTTCAGTGCTGGCTCCATTCTAACAAACAAAACACTGATCAAGGCAAACAGAATCTGTCCCCAGGCCACCTTGGGGGTACCAGATATTAACAAGCACTGAGAGGTCTACCATGCAGTGCAGTGTGAATCCTGAGTCCCAGGCTACATGTCCTGGCGTCTCTGGGGGAAGTGGGCATAGGCTGAGCGCAGGGATGGCCAGGAGAGAAGAAAGGGCTGGGAGTTTGTCCTGGCAGAAAGGCAGATGCTCTGGGCTGGACCCAGGCCCGAAGAGCTTAACGCCCCAGCCCCTTCCCCTGCAAGGTTCAGGATAGCAGTGAGGGTGGGCAGAGGCAGGCGTTGCTTTGCAGCCTCAGGCAACACTCTGACTCCTCTACCTTTAGGTTCTTCCTCTGAGGCTAATCGATTGGGGGATCTTCAGCTCCAGCTACCCAGGCCCACCTGCCCTGCCAAGGGCCTGCCCAATGGGGGACCTCTGTACCCACAGCTGTGGGGACACCCAGGGGACCCTTGGGAGTAGTGTGTAGATTAGACTGCTGCTTCTGACTCTTCACCGCACCACCAGTAATAGGGCTACATGTCCACACCCTTTGCCCCGTGACCTCAGGGGCCCATCCCATGTGGGGAGTAGAGCATGCATCCTTACCCTGTACTTGGGGCTTGACTAAGGGACACTGTGGCCACTGGAACATCCGCAGGCCTGACTGAGGCAGAGGCTTTCAAAGCACTTGTGTGGTGGGCCTCTTGCACCTGTGCTGTCCCCTGGAAAAGAGCATCTCCAGGTAGGAATATCTGAACCCACCACCTGAAGCAGAAGCACCCCAGCTGACCCACTGAAGCAGGAGTGAGAAACGTAGGTAGCTATTTGGGAAGCCGCTGAGAGGTGGGGCTGTTTCACAGCATTGTCACAGCACAAACCTGACGACTCTGCTGGGAGGACGTGGGCTTCCCATGACCCCATCCCCAGCAGGCTGCACAGAGGCTCCCAAACCATCTGGTCATCCCCTGTCCCACAGGCCTCTGTGTCCCTGGCCCTGAGGCAAATAGAGAGACTCCCCCTGGAGTGGGGAGACCCCCCAGGCTGTGGGCCATACAGATTTGGAACCAATCCCCACATCCTGGCTGTGAGACCTCTGGTGAGCCACTGCCTCTGTCTGAGAGCCACCTCTAGAGTGGGGGGTGATCATGCCCACCTCACTGGGGATTGGGGGTGCTGAATGACAGGCTGCAGGCCTGCAGGAGGGCGACAGTGGGTGCCCAGTGCAGGCATTTGGACTCATCAGGCTGTAGGGAGGGGAGTGGAGGGGAGGGGAGGGACCTGGCCTGCCATTAGTCTTTGGGATGGGGCATCTGCTAGAAAGCTCACTCCTGAGGAAAAGGAAGCCTCACCTTTCGAGGCCATGATTTCAAGGAATCTGTCACTCTAGCCTGAAGAAGAAGCAAACAGGTTTATTTCAGTACCAACTGTAAGCCACCCTGGTGGGCACAGGCCACCCTGCTTGGGGGCCTAGATCCGTTAGGAATGCTTTGAGCTTCAAGTAATATGTAGCTAATCACCGCTTAAACACAAAGGCTCCATGTTCTCACGTGACAAGCAGTCTGGAGGTAGGCAGTGGCGGGCGGTGGCTCAGCGGCTGGATAATGTCTTCAAGGACCAACACGCCATCTTTCCTCTCGGCTTCCTCACCGTTCGGTTGTTTTAATCCTTAAACTTGTTGCTTCGTGGCCAGAAATTGGCTGCTATGGGTCCAAGCATTTCATTTTACACAAACCCATTCAAGGTAAGAAGAGGCCAAATGGGAAAAGGGGGTTTCTTATTATCAGGGAGGCAAATGTCCTGAGAAGCACCCCTTTGTCTCTGGCCAGAAATGAACTGCAGGAGAGGTGAGAGCAGATATCTTGAAAAAAGGCCTAGGTTGGTTGTGACAGCCTGAGACTGATCACAGTTCATCCCCCAGAGTTGGGCGCAATGTTGCCTGAAGAGTATCAGGCTCCCTCCTGTTGGCAAGGCAAAAGGAGGAACGGCTCAGAGGCGGAGGGTAACAGTGTCCGCTGTAGCAGGGGAAATCAGTCCCACAGAGCAGTACCAAGCAGGACTCTTAATTGCAAACCATAGACGATGCTCTGTGGCAAAACAGCAGATTTTACTTTGTTACAAGTAATAGAATCCACTCTATAGCAAAGAGCAAACTCCACTCTATTGTAAAGAGCAGCCTCTGGGAGGACCAGCCAATCAGGCTCGGACGTTCCCCAGCAGGATCGTCACCGCTAGAAGCCCCACCCCATCACGGGACTGTTCCGTTAGAACGCAGCCACCAACACAGCCCACCTCTTGTGTAGAGGCTCCACCACAACCACTCCGGCAGAAACAGGCACCGCCACCTCCGTCACGCTTGCTTTGCCAGAGCATCGTTCTCCTTCACATAATCGCTAACTCACACCTCCCACATTTGCTTTTGAGTCTTGCGCCGCGCATCTGATATGTGGAAGCTATGCCTTCTGGGAAGCATGTGTGTTTGTCTTCTTTTGGGGAAGGACTCACAATGTAGGTCAGTGTCTCAAGGTAAAGAGGTAAAAGCTGGAGGGAGACTTTCTTTGCTGCTTCTCCAGGGCCCCATGAAGTCTTGCCCATTTAAAGGCTCCTGAGGGTCAGCCAGGTGTCCAGGAGAAGCACCCCTGGCCATCCCGACAAGAAAGGAGGAAAGAAACAGGGGACACCATGAAACACACATCTAAGTCATTCACTGGGGACCCCCGAAACACCTGAATTGAGCCAGAGATATTGAAACACACGTAAAGTGCTGGCACGTAGTGGGTGCCTCCCCAAAGAACTAAATGAATTTCCAGAGGACCTAGGCGCTCTGGACTTGGGCCCAGTGGTGAGATGACCAATTTTTATGGAAGCTGGGAGAGACAAGTCACATCCTGGCTCTGTCATCTACGCGTCACCTGACATCTGGGCACCTGGGTTTGCACATCTGGAAAGTGGAGACAATTCTCGCTACTAGGGTTACTATGAGGAACGTTCCCACCTCCCATTCTGTTCTTATCAGGGGCAGCAGGGAATCCTACGTATTGAAATATCTAATCCTGTGTTTCTCAAGAAGCGGGGACGGGAACCAGGCAGGGGCGTGTTAATCCACACAGCCATTCTCAGAGATTGGAGGTTGTGACAGGCGGAATTTTGCCATCCTCTCACGATCTCCACCACCAATGTTACTCCTGTGGTTGTCATTTTAGATGGCAAGGAGAACTTGGCAGGTATAACTAAGGTTACTCGCCAGCTCACCTTAACATAGGGAGGTTATGCTGGGTTACCTGGGTGGGGCCGATTGTAATCACACAAACCCTTAAAAGCAGGAGCGGAAAGCAGAGCAATTTGAAGCACCACGAAGATTCAAGGTGCCTTTGCTGGCCTTGAAGATGGAGGAGCTTCGTGAGAAGGAACTGAACCTTCCAACAGCCAGGGCCCAGAGCTCCGGGGCAGAGCTGCAGCCCCAGACGACACCGTGACTGTGGCCTGGTGAGGCCCTGAGCAGAGAACCTGGCCACCCCTTGCCGGACTTCTGACCTACAGAAACCTGAGATAATACATGGGCATTGTCTGAAGCCACTAAGTGTGTGGTAGTTTATTACGTAGCAATAGAACACTAACACAGAAGTATCATCCCCATGTTCCAGCTGAGGAACTCTGAGCCCCCACAGCCACAAAGTGGTGGGACCCATGTTTGAAGCCAAGTCTATCTGACTCTGGAGCCTATGAGTATGAGTATGCTGGCACTTGCCATTTGGCCTGTCTACATGAGGAAACTGAGGCACTAGAGCAGCGGTTCTCAACCTTCCTAATGCCGCGACCCCTTAATACAGTTCCTCATGTTGTGGTGACCCCCAACAATAAAATTATTTTCATTGCTACTCTATAACTGTAATTTTGCTACTGTTATAAATCGTCATGTAAATATCTTTTTGTTTTCCGATGGTCTTAGGCAACCCCTGTGAAAGGGTCATTCGACCCCCAAAGGGGTCGCGACCCACAGATTGAGAACCACTGCCCTAGAGGCTGGGGCCTTGCCACCGCCAGCTCTGCAGCAGCTCCGCACTGAGGAGACAGGAGCAGGCTGTGGGCCCTGTCTTCCTCAGCTCATCTCAGGAGCCTCAGAAGCCTGACTCATGTCTATCTACATCTGTCCACTCAGCTCAAAACAGGCCCCTGGAGCCCTGGGGTCAGGGCATTGCCTCCTGAGGTCTTAGGTGCAAAGCTGACATCCTCTCTGGGGAGTTCGGCAGACCTTACCCAGTTGTAGTCAGACTCCAGGCTACAGTTTCTCTGTGGAGAGAGGAGACCTAGAGAAGGCAAGTCCTGGAGACAGACCCAAAGGCGCCTCTGGCGACCCACAGCTGCTTGGGAGGAACCCACTCAGTGTGTGTGTGTGTGTGTGTGTGTGTGGAGGCGGGGGTGGGGGGAAGTGAAGGGCCCAAAGGCAGGAAGAGGATTCCTGGAGCAGAGACGGGGTAGGGAGTGTCAACCAGCCACTGAGACCCTTCTGTACCTGATGGTCTCCACTTCCATCTCCCAACTTCTCTGAGCCATGCTCCGAATCAGAGGAAACAGTTGTCCCATGGGCCAGATCAAAGATGTATTATTCACTTCAGCTGACATGGTGCTTAAAAAAAAGAGTCTAACCCAAATGTTTTAAATTGTGGGGTTTTACATTAAAACCTTTCTTGGACAATGAATCTGGCTGCACCGCACCCATCTTCCCACATGGCAACATGGGCTGGAGTCAGGGGCATGACCTTTGAGACACCCCAGTCCCACAGTTCCTATCACCCCCCACCACCACCACCACCTACCTGCCTGGCCCCTGAAGACATCCGAGTTCCAACCCCGTAGACACAACTTGACTCTATGGCCTTACTCTTCAGCCCCTGCCCACCCAGTACCGGGGGGCCCTGGGGTAGGGGGCCTAGCCTGGGTGATGTTGGCAAGGCTGGGAGCAAGAGAAGTTGGGGGCATTAGGATAAAAACTCAGGTGCCTCTTCCAGTCCCGTTTTTTGCAAACAGCTGTTCCCCCCAGTGACCTGGTTTGGCTAAGAGTTGGTCAGGGGTCAAACCCCTGACTTCCTGGTGCAAACCTAGGGGAAGGTACAGGCACATTTCCTCTGCCTGCATGAGCCAGCGGGCTCCTTGGTGCCTAATGGGGCAGCTGCATTTGGCCAAAAGGGCAACTGAGCGGTAGAAATGGTCCTCCCCCGGCACTGGGGCAGCTGCCCACATCCGCACAGCCCTTTGGGGAGGTCCAGCTCCCCCAACCACCTCCTGGGTCACATCTGAGGAAAAGAATCAAAACCTACTTTGTCTTTAGCCCCCTGGCCTTCTAGGAAAAGACCCTGTAAGAGATTCGGAGGCGACAGTTTGCTCCCTTCATTGTGAGCGGAGACGCTGGTGCTGCAATGGAAGAGACAAGAAATGAGGAGCAAACGGGGGAGGGAGGTGGAAAAATTAAATTCTGCGTGATCAGCAAGGTTTCAAACAATCGCTCGCCAACTGAAGTGGGTGCCACGTCTATAAGTCATTCTGTTTTATAGACCATTAGGATCTCCAGAGAGAACCTGCATGGAGACCACTGCTTTTTGTTGAAATTAAAATGTCAGAGAAAAAGAAATAGAACAAAACAGGGAATCTGCAATTAATTACCAGGCCATAAAAATTCAATAATCAGGAGGCAGAGCGGCCGCGGGCCCAGAGGTATCAGAGCCAGCGTAACAAGAATGGAATACATTAATCTTTTCAAATTAGTTTTTTAATCTGACGGGGATATATGGTGACATGCCTCCCCTTCCCGTCTGCCCCCTCCTTCCCCCACTCTGCGGGCTTCGGCCTGAAGCCAGGCTGCTGGAAGGAGGTTCTGGTGTCCAAACCTGGACCCCGAGTCGGCAGAGTAGGGCCTGCAGCCCCAGCTGAGCCCAGGGTCCACATGCCGGCGGGCCTGGTGGAGGGGCCCCAGCAGCGGTACCAGAAATGCACTTCTTGGGGGGTCTGGTTCTGGCTGGGGCCCAGTGCGTAGAAGAGCCCATAGGCGTGCTTCCACTCTGGCCAGCGGGTCAGAGGGTTTAAGAAAGCAAGAGGGTCTAGGAGTAAGCACCGGCTCTCTGAGCTTACGTGTCCTTATCTGGAAAATGGGAATAATACAATATCACTGGCTCACAGGGACCCCTGGTGCTCAATAAAAGGCCCCCACTGTTACTATTTTTACTGTCTAGACTGGCTGCTCAGACAGCAAGGAGCCCGAAGCACGGCCAGCACACTATTCAGAGAGCATTTATTTAGCACTTGCTGTGTGCTCAAGCTCTGGGGGAGACGAGACGAGCAGCCTCAGTCCTTACCCTGGAGAATGTGACTTGAAGTCACGTCAGAGAAACATTTACAGGGCAAGCAGGATAAGAGGATGTAAAGGCAAGGCGGAAGGAGCATCTCCTCGGAGCCGCCTGGGAAGTGGGAGAAGCCCGACAGCCCGGTCGTGGGCCCACTCAGCCCTCAGGCTCATCCCCGGCGGCGGCGGAAGAGCAGGCTCCTCTCTCACACCTCCGGCCTGCGGGGCGCCGGCTGATGGGTCTGATTAGAGGCCCTGCCCTCGGCTCCCGGAGCCCCGCTCCAGAACTGGGCCTCCTCCGGCGTCACCGGCCAAGGCCCAGGGTCCCGGCAGTCAGTCTAGTGCTCCAAGTTTCTCTCCAGCTCAACCTGCTCTGCATCCTCAGCCACGCAGCTCGCTCTCTCGCTGACCACCCCCACACCACCACCAAGCTGCTGAGCCCCGCCTGGGGAGCCCTCGGTGGAGCTCTCGTTTGGTCAGAGTGGTGAGTAACTGGGCTGTCCCCACGGGATAGCTGCAGAGCAGCAGCAGGGTGACCTTCTGCCCTTTGGACTGTGACTCCTTTTAAGTGTAGCCCACCAAGTGCTGGGCCCTGTAGAAGTCCTTCACCTGGATTTTCTCATTTCATCCCCTGGGATGTCGGGACCATTAATAACCCCATTTTACAGAACAGGAAATTATGACGCTGGGGTTCTTCACCAGTTCTGTGTGTCCCGTGGTCCCCGAATCCAGCTTCACTAAGAATACAAGCCAGGACAGCTTCTCCCACCTCCTCCAGAGTTTGGCACACAGTAGGTGTCCAATCAATGCTCACTGGATAATGTCCCTGAAGAACAGCGTGCCTTACCTGCCCTCCAATCGCTTTCCTCCCCAAGATGACTTCACTCCAACCTATAACAGCAGCTGCCATTTATTGAGCACCTACTGTGTGCCAGGCTGCGGGATCTGGTGTCTTTACAATAAGACTGTGATCCCCGCTTTACACAAAGGAAACTGAGGCTCAGAGAGACTGATGGGCCCAAGATCTCACACCCATGACAGGATTCTAAGGACATCGTCTCAGCGTCCCATCAACCTGACCTGCCCCAGAGCTTCCCAGCCCACCTCTGGTTGTGTCCCCCGAAACCCACTCCTTCAACCTGCTACCCTTGGTCACCTCCCCCAAAGGCCTCGTCTGACTCTCAGTTCTTCTCAGGGGCTCCTTTAATTTCTATCACTTTGTACTCGTTACTATCCTGTTACACTGACGGCGCACGCACCCTCCCACACACGCCCCAGGGGGCGTCTCAGTAGAAATGGTAGAGCGGAGGAAGAAGGATATCAAAAATTTCCTCCCTGACCCAGGTCCCCAGACCGTGCTCCCTTGCCAGGCGAAGTTCCAAGCGCGGCCACCAGATGGCGCCCGGCTCGCTTGGGCAGGGTTTGCAGTAAGGCCGTGGAGCCGCCAGATGGAGCTCGAGACCGCAGCTCCGCGGGCAGTACCCAGACAAGGCGGACCAGCGAGAGAGCCCAAGGGTCCCAGTGCGGTCTGGGTAGCCCTAGCGCAAGTGACCTTGCCGCCGCCGCCGCCGCCTCCTGCCCGCACCATGATCCAGCCCATGCCCCGGCTCTCTGTGCCTGCTGCGCTGGCCCTGGGCTCGGCCGCTCTGGGTGCCGCCTTCGCTACCGGCCTCTTCCTGGGTGAGTAGGGCCGAGTCTGCGGCAGAGCCTCCGCGGGCGGGACAGGCGCGGGAGCAGAGCCCGTGAATCCTCGAAGCTGGCTGCGGCTGAAGCTCATCGCTGGCACTCTGGAGTCCCAGGTCCTGACCCAGTATCCTCTCCCCCGCAGGGAGACGGTGCTCTCCATGGCGATCTCGGCGAGAGAAGCGCCTGCTGCCCCCTGAGGACAGCCCCCTGTGGCAGTATCTGCTGAGCCGCTCCATGCGCGAGCATCCGGCGCTGCGGAGCCTGCGGCTGGTCAGCAGGGTCGGGGACGGGGACAGGCGCCCACCTCCGGCCACGCGGATCCCACGTGGCTGCGCTGACCTTGGGCTGGGCGGTGGCTCCCTCTAGGCTTCCGCGCTTCTGTCTTCCTAGCCCGGCGCGGTGGGCGTTTCCTGGGAAGGGCGTTCCCCTAGACTACGCCCACGAGGGAGATCCTGAGCCCGGGGCGTGGCTGGGTGACTGGCAGGGCTGGTGCGACCCCCTCCCCCACCCACACACAGCTGACTCTGGAGCAGCCGCAGGGGGATTCGATGATGACCTGTGAACAGGCCCAGCTTCTGGCCAACCTGGCGCGGCTCATTAAGGCCAAGAAGGCGCTGGACTTAGGTAGGGCACGCGGCCGTAATCGCTGGGGGCCGAAGTCACCGGCCATCTCCCCACTGTGTCCTGAGCCTGTCCGTGTCCCTGTCCCCAGGAACTTTCACAGGCTACTCAGCCCTAGCATTGGCCCTGGCGCTGCCGCCGGCCGGCCGTGTGGTGACCTGCGAGGTGAACCCGGGGCCCCCAGAGCTAGGGCGGCCCCTGTGGAGGCAGGTGAGTGTCCTTCGTCAGGCCCCAGAGCACTCCACTCCCAGCTCCAGGTGAGGGGCGTGCTGGCTCTGACCCGCTCCTTTCGCAGGCTGAGGAGGAACACAAGATCGATCTTCGGTTGAAGCCCGCCCTGGAGACTCTGGGTGAGCACCGGAGTGGAAAGGGCCTTGGCACCATTTCCCAAATGGGGCCACTGGGTGCGAGCTAGTGACCAGGTCCTCCGGATGGGCTTGGGACAATGACAGCGTCCTGCCGCCCAGCCTCTCGGTCTGCGGCCACATTCAGGGTGACGGGGCTGGCGCCCCCGAGACCAGGGGCCCGTGAGTGGTAACAGTGCCTGGACTGGCCTGGGCGGGGGCTTCCAGCCATTGTGGCCTGCGGACTCAGCCTCATCTGCCTCTCCCTCCCCCGCAAGACGAGCTCCTGGCTGCGGGTGAGGCCGGCACCTTCGATGTGGCCGTGGTGGACGCCGACAAGGAGAACTGCACCGCCTACTACGAGCGGTGCCTGCAGCTGCTGCGACCGGGAGGCGTCCTAGCTGTCCTCAGTGTAAGGGATCTAGGGGAGGGATCCTCTGGGGCAAGGTGTTTCCCCTTGGCTCCTCCCTGTACCCCGCCCCCCAAACCCTTCCCAGTACTCATGTCAGCCCCTCCCTCAAGGTATTCCAGCGAGTCCCCAGGCTTTCCCACCTCCAGCCCTCACCCCGCCTCCTGCTTAGGCAGCTCCCTCCGAAACCCCCATGGTGCCCCGCCCCTCCGCAGGTTCTCTGGGAAGGAGAGGTGTTGCAGCCTCAGCCGCGGGACCCGGATGCCCAGTGTGTGCGCAACTTAAATGAGCGCATCCTGCGGGATGCCAGGGTCCACATCAGCCTCCTGCCTCTGGGCGACGGCCTCACCTTGGCCTTTAAGATCTAAGATTGGGACCTGGGGACCCCAGCCATTGACCCCGAGTTTTAAATGTCTAATAAAAGTGGGGTCTGGGACACAATCTTCTGAGCTTCCATACGTTGCACTTAAGTGGGGGAGGGCGGGAGGGAAGGTCCAGCACAAGCAGTTTCTTGAGCAAAAGGGAGCGTTAAGGTCAGAGTTCATCCCTTCCCTGGCACAGTCCTGAGGGCAGCCTGGCACCAAGGCTGTGGCCAGACCACAGAAGCCTCCAGCTGACTGGAGGCAGGATATAGTTTTAATTGACCTGGCCATGTGCAACTGGTCAGAGGCCCCAGCTCCTCGGGTTTGCCTCCACTCCACAGGCTGAAGGCTGGGCGCTGGGTAGGGGCCCCCCTGGTCGCCCTCCTACAGCTCTTCCTAGGAAGCAGTGAATGAAGTTCCTGTTCAGTGCAGCTGGTACCGGCAGGGAGACCATACCTGGGATCTGACAGCAGGCCTTGCAGGGGAGTAGGTTATGCCAGTTTTGCCAGCCATTTGCCCGCCTTTTCTCCAAACTGTCAGCCTGGCCTCACTTCTGCAAAGCAAGCCACTTGACTTAGACCTGAGGACCTCAAGATTGACTTAACGTATATATTCTGTCCTCCCCTTTAAGTCCTGAAGGAAGTTGAGGGACTGGGTGGGATCACTGGCCAGAGGTGTGAAGCAGACAGTCCTATAAGTAGACCATCAGTATGGCCAATTTTTGTTTTTTTAAAGATTTTATTGGGGAACCAGAGAAGGGGATCGATCAGACAAGTTGCTGTCCTTCTGTTCTTCAGTCTAGTTGTGGAAGTATGGCAATTTTTAACATGTTCCCCAGAATAAGATGAAGAGAAAGTAAGGCTTTCCAGCACCATGTGTGGAGGTGGAGAGGAAGCGGGTGCTTCATTTTTCTCCTTTAAACTCCCCCAATCCTGTAGGAATATCTCCACCCAGAGGAAGGTCAGGCTCAGGTACTAAGTGTTCTTTCCACTCCCACCACCTCAGGCAGAAACAGCATCAGCCTAGAATGCCCTTAGATTTCGCCAACACCTGGTTAGGCCTGGGTAGTGAAGTCCACCGGGAGGCTGCTAGAAGCAAGGCCACAGGTGGCGACTTTCATAACCTTGCATTTTAGACAACACTCAAAGACCCCTGGCTATAAACCTACCCCCGTCTCCACTCCCAAAAACATACTAGGATGCATATGGGTGGCTAGGTCCAATGTTCTGTAAGTAGATCCTTGATAAACTGGGAACTTACTTGCACCACATAACGCATGGTCACAGCCCAGTCCAGAGTGCTGACCAGGTGAACTCCAGCCACTGGTAAGCTAAAGAGCAGCCAGCCATCCAGGAGGCTGCAAGTGTCACCAGGCCCAGTAAGCAGGCTTCCTCCCGCCCGAGCACCACCAGCAGTTTGAGAGGCTGCTGGTCGACCTCACACGTCTCTTATGTATCCTGAAAGCACAAAAGGTGCTTTCACAGACGTCTTTTCTTGTTTTTCTTCTTACCTAACAGTAGGTCCTGACTCAAACAAATTGGCTCAAATTCCAACTTTCTGTATGAAGACCTGTGCATCTGATTCACATGGGCCATTCCAGCCAGTCCTGTAGGACAAACACAGTGAGACCAGAGGGGCCTCTGTGCCCGCCCCCCCCGCCCCCGTACACCTGTGTAGAGAGCTTGCTTAGGCTTCAAATTTCTCATCACATTCTTCTTGACCAGGATGTGTAATTTTTTGTGTAATGAATCTCAAAGTACCACATTTTATCATCTGCTTTCTCAGGCTTCAAACTGTACTTCAGACCTATTATTATACATTTGTTGGACAAATCTCCCCTTCTCTAACCTTTGATTCTATCCTTCAAACTATCTCTTCCCATCAAAAAACTTGCTCTGTCCTGCTTTTCCAACCAGAATCACCTATTAATTTCTACCATTCAGCCCAAGTCTAGATAAAGACCAATGGCCACATAACCTGAAGGCGTTGCCTGTGGTCTCAAACTTAGGCCCACGGTTTTCAGTCAGTGTCTGCCTGGAAGGGGTAATGACCTCTCACTGGGACTATGTACTCCCCTCACAGTCCCTCTGGTTACTGAGGCTGTCTACACCTAGTCCCATCCCGCCTAACTAGGGCCTAGTTCATTTTCTGCAGCAGTAGCTCACAGGAGTAGTATGGTTTGTATACGTAACTTTTCAGCACCATCACTTACTTCACTTTCATCACTTATTCTCCAACCTTTCCTGAGTTAACAATATTCCAGTGTAATTTTGCACAAACTTACAAACTGAAGAAGTAAAGGCATATATCCTCGTATTTTATTATGGTCTAAAAAGCTCACGGAGTTACTCTAGAGACACAGAGGACTTGGTGGCATAGATTTTGATAAAGGGCAAAATGCTCACTGGAAAAACTATTAGCTCGATACTAGGGAGATTTGACCCTAGCTAGCAAATTTTTAACTCCGCAAATACTTGGCATTATTAATTATGTACACTTGTTTTATTCGTAATTTGTAATGTTTTAGGATACCAAAGTGATTCTACTGGTTAAACTTAACAAAAAAATTTTTATCCTCATCTTAAATCCACTGATCCATTTCATTCAATGGCAATATTCAATGTTAAAAGGAACATAAAAACAAACATGCACACAATTGCACAGTTTTCATAAAGGTCTATTTCATTATTGGTCGGTAGCACATTTAACAGTTAAATACATTTAAATAATGTATAGGTGACTGCACGATTGCAGCATTGGTAACTAGTTAGATAACCAATTCAACTAGAAACCAGCTAACAAGTAACTGTCTAAATATTTAAAATACAGCTCTTGTTTAGGTCATCCTTTGTTTTGATCACCTTCTTGGGGGATAAAAGCTTGCTGGTCACACTGGAAATAAAATTAAGGCCGAATCTTCTGATATCCATTCCCAGAGGTTTCTTTCAGCTGGATTAAGCCTCCAACTCCAGGGCAAGCCCAAGTTTGTGGCCTCCAGCATTAATGCTCTTCCCATCTACCAGAGCAGACAGTGTAAGCTTCACGCCGGGCCTCAGAGTCTGAGTGTAGCCCACTCCAATTAAACTAGAGTTGTTGACTTTTGCAGAAATGGAAGCAGTGGGATCCAACTTATATTTAGCTGCAATGCCGAACCGAGTGC